CGGGGCTGCGGGCAGGAGTCTAACGCGGCGGCCTGCAGCCACCCTTGGGTGCTCTGCGTCTGGTGAAATAACCGATGGTGGCAACAAGGCCCTGCAGTGTTTAGGCTGGATAACTTGAGGTTTAAATATCTTTTAATGATTAAGGCCTAGGCATATGCAGCTGTTTTGTAGTCCAGCCTATTCAGAGTAGCTTTGATCTTCATGAGCTTTGGCTCCTTGCCTGTCATCCTGCATCCGAACATGGGGCAGAGCGCATTTTTTTGTCTTCCTCAACGAAACTGGAAGCCAGAAACTTTCTTCCCAGAGGAGCCAGAGGTTCACGTGTCACTGCCTGGCCCCGGCACCTGGTGCTTACAGTGGCAGTAGCAAATTGCAATACAATATCATCCCAGTTCATGGACAGACATAACTTTTCTCGTCCGTGGATGACATGCAGTGAAGTCCTCAGAGCCGAATAGCTGTCTTTGCCAGGGCTCCTTGCTGGAGCAGACTGCTGCACCCCGACGAGTTTTGCGTCACCAGGCCACATCTGTTCGCCCACACGCCCTTGCTGCTGAGCTGAAACGGATGATCAGCTATGGGAGCATTAAAAAGACACCGTGCACACACAGACGCCCAGTTCATACCAAGCACACTTCTGGCGTGGACCAGCCAGGGCTGTGGGGCCAGCTGGCGTTGTTTCGAGTGGGCGCTAAGAGCTTCCCACCGAGGCTGAGGCTCCCGTCAGGACCTGGCTGCACCGCAACCCCCCAGGCAACGCTGGGAATGGACGTGTTTGCTCATCTGGCCCGTCACTTTTATTTGCTTACAGTACAGGCTGATTAATTAGATCTCGTCCGAGCCCCCTGCTTCCATGAGCTCGCAGCAAAGGGCATCCTGCGTTTTTGTCGCTAATGGGCATCACCGTTCCAGCCAAAAAATTATGGGGCAGACAAAATGTCTCTTTAAAAAGTGCAATAGAAATTAAAAGCCTCCACTGAGAACAAAGCCACTGGGCTTTTTGCAGCTATTGTTTTTATTGTATGCTGTAAGATTTGTCAAGCAGACCATTTTTACCGAGAGAGAGTGTATCCTTTCTCCCAAGCTGTAATTCTTAGGCTTAAAGAAGATTTCCTCTCAGTAAGGAAATAAAAGATAGAAATAGGATGCTCTCTGACATTTGAACAAGCTACTGAGAATCTGAATAAAAGGGGAACAAACTCAGAAAGTATCATTCATACAGCAAGCAACTCTGAAACGTCGTCGTCTGCCAAGAGTTACCACCTGGTGCAACTGTGTCTTTATTGCTAGAGAGAGGCTAGACAATAACTCTGGGGACCCTGCTGGACCTGCTGGCTGCTTTGCAGTGGCAAACCCACGCTGAACTGCAGAGGCACGGGTACTTTGGCGGGCCGGGGGGG